GACAAGGTAACTCACCTAGCTGATCAAGGGAAACCAGTTGATGCAATTTTTTTTGCGTTTCAGAAAAGCTTTCAATATTGTCTCTCAGAGGATCCTTCTGAACAAAGTGTCCAGCACACAGATGGATAAATACATAATACCATGTGTGAGCAATTGGCTCAGGAGTTGAGCACGGAGGGTAATAGTGAATGGGGTGACATCAGAGTGGTGACCTGTCACTAGTGGGGTTCCACAGGGCTCCATCATGGGCTCTGTGCTCTTCAACATCTTCAGAAATGACTTGGATGCAGGACTGGAAAGGATACTGAGCAAGTTTGCAAATGACACAAAACTGGGAGGAGCTGTTGACTCCCTCGAAGGCAGGGAGGCCCTGCAGAGAGACCTTGACAAATTAGAGAACTGGGCAATCACCAAACACATGAAGTTCAAAAGGGAAAGTGCTGGATTCTGCACCTGGGATGGGGCAACCCTGGCTGTACATACAGACTGGGGAATGAGATGCTGGAAAGCAGTGCCATGGAAAGGGACCCGAAGGTCAGTGGCAAGTTGAATATGAGTCAGCAGTGCCCTGGCAGCCACGAGGGCCAACCCTGCCTTGGCTGGCATCAGGCAAAGCATCACCAGATGATCGAGGGAGATGATTGTCCTGCTCTGCTCTGCACTGGTGCAGCCTCACCTTGAATACTGTGGCAGTTTTGGTCACCACAATATAAGAAAGATATTAAGCTCTTAGTGAGTGTCCCAAGGAGGGCAACGAAGGTGCGAAGGGCCTTGAGGGGAAGCTGTATGAGGAGTGGTTGAGGTCACTTGGTCTGTTCATGCTGGAGAAGAGAAGACTGAGGGGACACCTCACTGCAGTTACAACTTCCTTGTGAGGGGAAGAGGAGGGGCAGGTGCTGATCTCTTCTCTGTGGTGACCAGTGACAGAATCCAAAGAAATGGCCTGAAGTTGTGTCAGGAGAGGTTTAGGTTGGATATTAGAGACAGGTTCTTCACCCCAAGGGTGGTTAGGCACTGGAACAGGCTCCCCAGTGAAGTGGTCACAGCACCAAGACTGACAGAGTTCAAGTAGCATTTGAACAATGCTCTCGAGCCCATGGTGTGACTCTTGGCAGGCCAGGAGTTAGACTCGATGATCCTTGTGGATCCCTTCCAGCTTGGTATATTCTGTGATTCTGTGATCTATGCTGTAGCTTCCAGATAAATTTACCACAATTACCTCAGATAGGTCTTCAGCTTTACTGACAACAGAAAAATACAGGAAATACATAAAAGCAAGCTACAAATAGTTCACCTTTTTTTTCTGAAGATTTATTCAAATAATACAAATCACAACAACTTAAAATAACTGCATTGCTAGTCCAGTTTTGCATTTAGTGTTTCCTTTAAGAAAAAAATCTTAAATTTAAGAGAATGAAAACAGTATACCATAAAGTTGTATCAAAAAGTAAAAATGGTGTAGCATAAAGAATGTTCAAGTCTGGATGGTTTTCTCTGAAGATTTGGTGTTCATTGGAGGCAAAGAAGTGTCTATCCGTCTTTTTGGGTAAGAAGTGTTTCCCTTCCCACTTGAAGATCCAATTTAGTACATGTTGTAATAAATCTCTCTTCCAAAATTACTTGGATGTGCTAAAAATTAGAAAAGAAACATGGAAATGTTTTGGCAATAGGAACTGTAAATCGTAAGTTTCTCCCTTCATCGAACAAAAAAAGTCTTCCCTGTTCTTTCCAGTTTAACCCGAGGTATTTTATAGATGCCAAGCCTTATTTTACATCAATAAACCCAACAAGAGGAGGCACACACTGGGGTTCCTCGTAGGTAGGCAAAGGTCTAGCAGGAGGCCACATCCACTTCTAATATGTCATTGACACTTTGTGTTTCTGCTATGAGCTCTTCTATTCACTTTCAAAACAAATAGTCTCAGCCTGTCTCTGTCCTGATGGGAACTGCTTTTTCATGCTGAAATGCTGTCTTGCTTAAAATCAGCAGAAGTTTTGACACTGAATTCAATTAGGGTCATGTTTTTGCTCTCGTTTTTTGATCATTTTAGTTAATGATTTCACTTGAGCTCTGTATCCTGGCTTATACAGACCACTCAGATGAACACTTACTGTTCCTATGTGTCAAGTAGTTAACTATGTCCTATTTTTTTCTCCCTTTTTAAGAAATCAAAGTGTTGGATTTGCTCTCTGCTAACAGAGCTAGGAATAGCATACCCTCAGTCTCCTTGTGTCCTGATTTGCAGTATATTGTATGTTACGAAGGTGTGGAATTGGATTAAAAGCTACAGCACAGTGCTCTGCAGATAAACCCACTGCAGGTGTGAAGTTTAATAGGATTTTAATTTGGTAACAAGTGAACAAAGAGCAGAAACCTAGAATGGGATTTTCTAGATTAAAAAAATGCTATTCGTGCTGAGAGAAAGCAACTGCAAGCTCTGTGATAAGGAATAAAGATCGGGCCAATGCTCTCTGAGCTGCACTTTTATAGATTGCAGCTCGCTCAGAACATCTCCGTTACTGCCACTAGTTTCATCAATTCTTAGCTCATATTACGTGTGTTTGGCTACATAGCATTTCATCTGCCACACTTCCCTCTAAGCCAGTGTGTACAAATATTCTATTGTCTCATTCCCCGCCTTCTACATTTTTTCATGTAAAACCAGTGTTTTCCTTGGGAGATGCCTCCAACTTGGAATGTATTCTCTCTTCAAGACTATTAACAATTATTTTCATGCTTAAAACTATATTTAAAAATAAGATTCAGAAAATGTGCTGCACTATTAAAAATAAATGGGAAAATACAGTTTCTCTGCTGAGGAGTGTAATTTATATTCAGCATGAACTAGGAAAGGAAAACCAAAAACAGATGGGAAAGGAAGAGAAAGAATTAAGGTGACAACTAAAAGATCATGAAGTGAGCTGCTAATCCACAGACACATATTGGTGCTGCTGATAACAGGGTAAGGTTGGGAGATTCTTTTCCGATTTCTGTAACCAGTCCTCCCTGTCATTTTTCCAGGATTTTGTAGCAAAACTGAGTGGTTAGTGCTAATTTCAATGAGGTAAGGGTGGAGGTGCGATGACTAGACTGCTTTTTTCCCCCAGCATAACATACTGTAGAGAAGGCATAGAAATGCTCTGTGAGACAAGATTAAAATGCTATGGAGACTGGTGTTGTGGGCAGTGGATGGAGTAGAGGATGGGAACTGACTGATGGGTCACAGAGAGCTGCTGAAGCTGTATGAGGTGAAGCAAATATTATGAAATAAACCCATGATGCACAGAGCAATATGTTAGGCAGCAGAGATGCAGTCCAGGAAACAGCAGTGTGGCTGGTGGATGCCACTAAGGCTGCCGAGGCTTCAGATATCCAACAGAATGGGCTGTGGCCAAAGGAGCAAAGTTGCTTGGGAGATGGTTGCCTGGGAGCATGATGATGATGGTGCTCAAAAGTCACAGAACAAAAATTCTCATGCAATGGGAATCTACTCAGAAGACCTACAGAGATGACCACACAAAGTGGTGGGTGATGGAGATGCTTTTGGCAGTTGTGTTTTTTATCAACCTATGGAATTAGTATTGACACACAAAAAGAAGGAATCTGCAGTGGTTGAGGTGGGAGCTACTGCCTGTCTGAAGAGCACAAGTGGGCAGAAATGCTCACTCACTCTATCACAGACCTTGAAGCTCTTTGGAGCTGCAGCTTCAAGTTTTTCAGCTCCCTCAAAAAGTTGAACCACAACATCAACAGGCTCTTACTAGAATCTCTTTTTATCCCACCATTATCAGCATCTTGCATGTGGACTGGCAGAATCCATCATCTGTTGTCTTCTTTCATCTCTAATCTTTATCTACACTCAATCCTTCACTGTGTCCTTTCCTCATTCATAACTTCTCTCAAGTTGTCCTACTCCTCATTTCACATTTTATACCCTTCCTCTCTGACACCCCTCATCCTTCACTCTAATCAGCCTTGCTCTGTTCTTGCAATCAGGTACAAAACATGCAAAACTGACAGACATATTGATAGGCACATCACTTACACAGACCAAACCTGGATCAAACCCTTGTCTGTGTCTGGATCAAACACCTGCAAAAAGCATTGAAATGGGCATAGGAGGACATACAAAAGCCCATATGGGCAGCACAGTGAAGAGCATTGGAAGCAAGGCAGATATTGAATGAGATTTCTAGTGGTTTATTTCCTAATTTCTGATCATCAGTGATTTAGAGCTCTCCTGCTAATAGCTGGCACCCAGCTCAGTTTGGTTTTTGACTATAAGGTGGTATGGCAGGATGGGTCATTATTTTAAAATTTGAAAAATAACAAAATCTATCAAATATGCCCATCACATGTATAAATCATTCTTGGTTTGTCCCCTTCATACCTGCTTTCTCCCCTCCAATTTTCCTTTCTGAGCTAGTCTTAGCATATCTTATGTTTAAGAAATTAGAGTCCCCTAAGGGTCGTTATAACTAATAAAGATGTTTTTAAAACAGTCAATTTCCACTCCTGGTCCTAGTATATGGAAACTGAATACCTCTTGGGAGTAAAATAACTATAGCAACGTCATCCCAAAAATGTAATTTTCCTTGTGAGTCTTGGTGCCATTAATATTTGTCCTTCACAATTTTCTGAAAAACACAGAGATTTAAGATTTAAGACAACGTCTTTAATTTAATTTAACTTCCATGTTACTGCATGGAAAAGAAATCTGAAAACAGCTGAATGTCTAATTCATCACTTGCATTAAGCACAGAGACTTGATCCATGTTCCTGTATGTCCTTATATTTTAACCTTGTATCCTAGAAGACTCAAAGTGTATCTTGTTTTCTACCTGTATGCCTTACTTTATCCTAATAATTTTGGAGCAGGGGACTGACTGCAAGGAAGTCTGGTGGAGAGAAAGGTCTCAAGGATTTAATTTTTCTGCATATTTTGATAGATGCAGAAAAACCTATTAAAAGATAATCTATTAATTATCTTTTAACAGATAACTGGAGAGAAGAGAATGTGCTCTCACTGCTTCCAACAGTGAGAAAAGACCACACAGTGCCCTCTCTCTTCTGATCCATAAATACCTGCAGCCTGTTTTGCCAACTAGCTCACAACCTGCTCCCAGCCCACCTGAACAGTACTGCTCTTCCTCAGCCAGCACCTGGGGAATCTGGTGGAGCACCAGAGGTCTGTTGGAAACCTAGGGAAAGATCAGGGAACTGTGGTGCTGAAGAGGTGGGTGGTGTGGAGATTACAATCCCTTGATAGGATCATGGGATAGGTGTGAGATGTGAAGGATGCTTTATGGCTACAGGTTTTCAGGGACATTGGACACAGCTCCATGAAAACCTGGTTTTCATTAGTTCTACTTTACATGCGTAAAACCCCTCAACCAAACACAGCCCTCCCGATCCCTCCTAATTTACCCAATTTATAATTGGGGTTTTGTCATAGTTTTCTTTTAAGTTAATGTTAATTTCACCTTCCTGACAGTGGCTGTGTTCACCAAACAGCTCAGAACTCTGGAAAATATTGCTTAATCCAAAGTTATTCTGGTTCTGCATCACAAGAGCTGTCTGTGAAGCATTGGCTTGAGGCTGATCCTCTGCAAAACAGGCTGAGAGATGGCTGGGCTCATAAACGCACAGAACAGGGACGTCATTTTGCTTTGCAACCAAGGAATTTCCATCTTCTTTCTCCTCCTCTATATAGGTCTGGAAAACGTGAGCCGCAAAATCGACGAGTAGCAAATTCAGCAAAAGCCAGGATCCTAGTTTTAAAGAAAAACAAAGATAATTATGACAACCTCTTAATTTGCTTATCCTTATAATGTGTTCTTTTTTGAAGGGTTTTGTTGTAGTAATGGGCTGGATAAAGTAGCAGATCAGCACTCATTGAACAGGACTTACAAAATTACATACTTCCAGATATCACAGCAAAATAGGCACCAAGGCAGATTTTAAACATAAGCAAAAGCTTTTTCCCTTATTTACCTTAGCGAGGAAAGTGTACTTGTGCTCATTCACTTTCCTGGTCAAGTTTTTCCCCAACATTCACTTCTCCTACAAGGCTTATCAATAAACACATACGATTCCCATTCTCCCCTCAGACAGATAAATCATTCCACCTCTTCCCAAGCAAATCCTCCTCCATACAAGACATCTGTATGTCTTGTATTTATGACATTAAATGGCCTACCTTGCAGCCTGAGCCATAACTGCTAAAAGCCAAGAGAGACTCAATGAGGCCACTGACATTTGAATCACACCTTGATTGGAAGCCCTTACAGTAAAAAGTAGATCTTCTTCCATGCCATAAATCTGCGTAGGAATTTATGAAGTAATTTAACTCTGCATATGAAGTAATTTAACCTCTGCATCCCACAAACAAGTTTACATGGACATCAACAAGGAGGTACCACAATTTATATGAACAACTAAGGTTTATAGAGCTTTAAAAATGAAAAATACTGTCTCTTTTGACATTAAATGTGTCTGAGAAGCTTCTGCTTCTGCTCTTCACCCTTTTGGAGGTCTTTAAACTATAGCAAAGTAGGTGCTTGTTTATCTACAGAAAGGGATCTTTATAGTTGGAGTTGTAAGTATGCAGACCTGACACTAGTAGTCCAAGAGCATTTCTATCAGTCTTTCAGGTATTTTCAACATATTCAGTAGGTAAGCTACCACTCCAGTTGTCCCTTGGGATAATACAGAGGAACGGGATAATGCACAGTCTACAAGAGGGACTAGGTTGAAGCAGCTTGCTTGGAAAAGAAGAATGCACAGGTCACTGTCCAGACCTTGGGACTTGGAATGCCTTGGAAGGTAGACCAGTAAGGAAACAGAGGTGTGTGAGCTGACATGAAACTCCATGAGGGAAGGATGTAGAGGCACAATTGCTGGAGAGGAAGTGGAGCAGAAGAAGCTGTAGAGGTCCCAGTAGCCCTGACTGTGGCTGCACACTTGCTCCATGTTGCCTTTCAGCAGGGGTAACTGCACAGTTTCCCCGACTGCACTTAGGCATCACCCATGTAGAGGCCCGGCTGGGCTGGAAAAGGCTAAAAGTCAGTTCTAAATTCTGAGGTGTAAGTATGTCAGGATATTATGAGTGCTGGATGTGGCAAACTCCAAGGCAAGAGATTGAGTCAGAAGTAAGTTTGGTTTTGGTTACTGCTATGTGGTTTATTTTGGGTGTGAGATATACTGCATTTGGCCAGATACACTGGTGCACACACGTTTCCCTAAGTAATTGTTTCCTCAGTGTGGATGGTACATAGTTTGACTTGCAGGATGCCCACCATTCCTGCAAGAAATGCTGAGATTCAAGAAATTTCTGAAAAGCAATAACCTTGAGAACTTTTACACCAGATGGCTTGTTAACAGAACTGCTTCAGCCTGTCTGCTAAAACTCAATATCCTAATGCAATAGAAACATGTGAAAGAAGGGATATCATTAGATCAAATAACTCAATATCTTAAAGAACTGGAGCTATTAAGAAAGACGACAATAATGACCAAATTATTGGAGCATCATAGCAAAAGATTAAAAACCATTTTTAACTCTCTCATATATGACAATAAATTAAATCTTAGTGTTATTGAAGTATAGTAGGAAGACTGTCGTGAGGTGAAAATATGAATTGTAACTAGCTGAAGGAAGGCTCTGCAAATGGAAGACATGCACTTCATCTGTTGCATCCCATCCTTCGATAACTGCAGAACAAGGAGACAATTCATTAAACTCTTCTTGTGGTGGAAAGAGGGAAGAGGATGTCATCATCATGGGGGATTTCAATAAATATTATGCTTCCAGTGCAGCTCTTGGAATTCATTCCAAATTTCCTCATTGCTAAGAATATTGCATGTAACATTGGAGAGTTTTGTGCAGAACTCCTCCAGAGATAAAGAAATGACTGATTATTTTATTATTACTGTAATGCAGCAGCTGATAGACGAGAGGCCCTACTGTCCTATGTTCCCTGCAGACACAGAACAAAACTCTGATCCTGCTTAAGACAGTTTACATAAGGCAAAAGGTAGCAGCTCGATGCTGAAGAAGGGTGTGTTCATAGATGCACGAACACAGGCATTATTGGGATAAGAATACTGAAGAACACAAAAGGCAACAACCTTAACATACTCCTTTGTTATGTCTTTGCAGGAAACACGTGAAAGTATGGCTTTGAAGGAGCATTTCAAAGAAGATAATGAGGTTTCCTTTGGCTATTTATGTGAAGCCCCATCCAACAGAAGAGTTAAAAATATGAAGGTGCTGCTTTGAAAATCTAAGTGGTGGTTCATACAGTTTGGGATTAGATGCTTCTCATAGGATATGGTGCATTTCTGCACAATGAATAATAGAGAGGGACCTCTGAAAGGTGTTACAAATGACAAGAAAGGCAGTTAGCGTAGAGATTGAACTGATTGTAAGACATGGTTGTATCACTTCAAATCACTTCAAGTGAACACAACTGCATAGTTCCTTCACTTCTGCCTTGCACTGGCATGTGATGGATTTGATGTTTGACAGCTCAGAGCCCTAAAACAGAGAGAAAACTAATCCAGCTAAAGGAATTACTATTTTCAGTCAGTTTAACACCTTCAACTGGTGTGCTGCTGGCTAGGCAAGCATTTAGGTCAGTGTAAGGCATAAGGAAAAGGAGTATATAGCTGTTGTCAGATGAACTGCTTTCTGGCAAGTAGTTATCACAGTGACCTTCTCTGGCAGAGCAGCTTTCTGTAATATATAGAAAGACACTGAAGGACTTGGAGCTATTACTTGAGAGACCTGGAATGTTTATGGTTTGGAATATTAGTGACCCCAGCTCTCCATCACACTCTGCTGCTGCGGTGTGCAGCTCTGGTATGGAGGGAGAGCAGAAACTCTCACCTAGGCTGCTGTTTCCCATTTCCACACAGACAAACTATGACTTCTGCCTAAAGAGGGAGTCCTGCCCTTCCTGCCATCTCCATCTGCATGCCCCTACTCTCCTCCCTTCTGCTCATCCTAGAGTTTTGCTCAGACAAGTCGTCTGGTCAAAAACTAACAGTTTAATTTCCCTGACCACATCACCAGGAGAATGGTGATTGAAGGAAGGGAAAAGAAAGAAGGAATGACTTTATTAAATGTAGCATGAATTTATGTCAGTTAAAATCAAGGAGTCATAGAAATGCAAAGTAGGTTGGGTTGGAGGGGATCTTAAAGACCGTCTGGTGCAAACTCCCCTGCCATGCACCTTTCACTGGATCAGGTTGCTCAAACCCCCAACCAGCCTGGCCTTGAACTTCCAGGGATGGAGTATCCACATCTTCTCTGGGCAATCTGTTCCAGTGCCTCACCACCCTAACAGTAAAGAATTTCTTCCAAATATCTAATTTAATACTACTCTTAGTTTAAAGCCATTCCCCATTGTCCTGTCATTACATGGCCTTACGAAAAGGCTCTCTCCAGCTTTTTTGTCGCTGCCTTTAAGTACTTTTAGATCTATTTGTATCTGTCATCTCAGGTTAGTAAGGGACATATCAAATGAGATTCACGAAGATCCTACTTACCAAAACTGTCTGTCCTGTTGATGGTCAGAATCTTGCCTATAGTGCTCAGTAGGAGGTTCCATTTCAACATGAAATCTGATGCCTGCTTTTTAAATGCCTCTTTACTCCTGCTTGGCTGCAGATAAAGAAAATAATTGGTTTACGATGAAGTTGATCAAAAGAATTCCTTATTGTGTGGCAGACTATTTCCCTGGAAAATAGTTTCAGGTTTTTCAATACAAAGGCAGAAAAAGCAACAAGCATTTTTTTTCTGTTAAAAATCCTAAAATAGCTGAGGTTGAAAGAGATCTTTGTGTATTGCCTAATCTGATCTCTTGTCCAAAGCATGGCCAGCTTAGTTCAGGACTTGTCTAACTGAATTCTAAATTTCTCTTGGATAAAGATTCCACAGCCTTTCCAGGCAATCTCTTCCTATGCTTAATTACTCTCATAGGAATTTTTTTTTCCTTTCTATTGCCTTATGCCTTATAACTGTGAAACCCCAGGAAAAGTCCTGCTCTTTCTTCTCTATACCATCCCATGAGGTACCTGAGGGTTCTATGAGATGAATGCACCACAGAACTGCGAAGTATCTTTCTTAATTTAAAAAAAGAAATTAAAAAAGGTCAATTAAGTACAGTTTATTTTGCTGCTTCAGAAAGGGAAAAAAATTACTCTAAGTACCACCCAAACCCAAGTTAACCGGTCTGGCAACCAACCCAATGCAGCATAAAAGCTACTACTAATTCTGAATCAGGGAAGGAAGAGGGATGGTAGAATGGGTAATCTATCAAAAGGTACATATGTGAGGACGGTCATACTTGAATCTTTCATGAGAGCTAGAGAATTTGTACTAGAAGTTGTCACTCTCCTACTACCTGCTAAAAGCCAACAGTTTAGTGAATCAATAATTTCAGGGATCAGGAAGTATTCTTTTCATTTTTAATCACATATTACTTCTGAATTTTGGTTTATTAGCAACTGTGATAATATGTGTCTATGAAATGAGAGCAGATACTGAAACCACTTGAATGGATATAAGTGCAGAAATATGCTTGTAGTTGTTTGCACAGATGGAGTTTTTGTATGCCAATTAATTCTCCCTTTTCCGCAGCATGCATAAATTGTAAGTATGCAAATCTGCAGTCTGGTCAGGTTGCTGGTGTGCAATGTAGCTCCTGCAGACTAGTGACAGTTAGCATGTACCAGGATAAATTATGTGATCACTCTTTCTTTACTGAAATTATTAATTTTATACCTTAATAACAAAAGTCTGAAGATCTGAAGAGAAACCGCTCAGGAGATCCCGAATATCTGTAGAAGATGTCAGTGAAGAAATTAAGTTTTTCAAACCTGTGAAATACAGAAAAGAAATGATTGCTTGAAGTGATTGGGTTGCCTTTTGGTTTGTTTCTGCAATTTTTAGCTTTCTTCTTTTATCTTTACCTTAAAATATATTAAGACATCTGTTTCTAGTGTTTTGATTAATATACTATTTCTTTAGTGAGGAATAGTACCCTACTTTGAAATCAGTCAGAATTCACCTTCATGTCCATTTCCACCATAACTCCACTGACCTAGTCATCATGACAAAGGTGACAAGAAAAAGCATTTCTAATGAAAAAGCTGGAATTTGATTATAGGTAATACTAACATACATATCTGAGATTTTATAGGGTTAAGAAAAAAAAAATCTAGGTTTATCTGTTGAAGGGAGAAAATAGTTTTAAAACAATAACATTAAATGCAGAATATTCTGTAGGCCAACAGAAATACAGATAATGTTGCCACATATCAGTGCAGTTGCTCCCCCAAATGATTGGAACCTACCACCCAATGCCTAAAGGGAAACTGCATCTCTCTGAATGTATACCCTTCTAACTGAGATATCTTCCTTCAAGAAATCATATATAGAGAGTCTGTGAAAACTTGCTTATTATAAATAACAGTTTGGAAAAGCAATGAAAACAGAGAATGCAATAAATCCACCTTGGAAGGAGTAAGATCATTGATAACATAATGGAAAAATGTAATAAGAGTGTTCTGTGCAGTGGTTTTGATTTTAACATACATACAAATATTATTCAAATGGTTCTTCTGATGGTTCTGTGAAGAAGGTAAATTATTATTCCTACTGAAAGCAGTCACAGAAAGTCTGTGGCATATCCCTTGTCAGTGCACAAATCAGTGATGGAGCAGGAACAAATAGCTGATGTTTCCCCCTGTCAGTTCTGTACATGACCTAGTCCCACTTGCCCATCTCTTGCTAACATTTTAAATGCCAGACCATTCATCTAAAAATTAACTTGCCATTATGTTTCTCTTCCTTTTCATTAAGCTGGCAAATGCATTATGTCATGTCTGCATAGAAACTGAATATTTTATTGTTTACAGCACAACACTGATCCCACAGGCCACAATACAGCAAAAGGACATGAAAGTTGAAAGGCTTTGTCCAATTCAGCATACAGTATTTCAAAACCTAGCCATAAGAAATGATTTTATGTGCTTTGATTAATTACAGAGAAAAAAGTGATGTGAGATGATTGAAAACGTCTTTTCTGTCAAAGGAAAGAAAAAATTGATATCCCTGCTTGGCAATCTTCTTCTAGAAGATACATAATTCAGTAACACAAATCCCATGCTGCTGCCACACAAAGCTTTCAGAGAGAGTGACAGTGGGCAGCCTTTAATTCTTAACCTTTAGAGTTAGGAGGATAATACTACATGATCCATTCTCAATTTTATTGGCTCTTTTCCAGCCCTTTGGGTTACAGCAAGACTGTAATTCCCAATAGGACAGATGCCATGAATGAGCAAGAGGAAATGCTGGAGCTTTAAAAATGGATAGACAAAACATAGCAAAAAAAAAAAAAAATTACATTTGAATTGTATGTTTTTCTGCCGCCTCTTTGGATTCCGAAACTTGTCTCGAAAGAGGTTTTTAGTCACATCCAGAGATTGCTCATTGAAGACAGCATGCAAGCCTGACCGCAGAACAGTGACTGTGCTGTTGTTGTTCAAGAGTGCTCTTACTGTCTGTAGAGAATAAAAAAAATGGTTAATGCCTTTTATTCTTTCAAGCCCTTAAGTCAGCCAAGTAAGGAAATTGAAAAAGGGAAGCTTCCCTTAGTCAATACTAGATTTCATATGAGCAGTCTCCAAATTGGGTGTCAGGGGGTATGGGATCAAAGGAGATAAGAAGTCTTCAAGAGACTTTTGTTCTTTCCAATGCACACTGTGTTGTCTGTGATGAAGCAGACAAGGCTAACATGCTTGAATTATCTGGGCAATTTGTTTTGCCCAGAGTTTCTGTAATTACATCAAATAACATCGAGCTTTCCCTCGATGCTACCTGTCCTTAATATATGTTTCAATTAAATGCAAAGACAAATTCAATTCAATTCTCCAGTTGTCCAAACCTTTGAGGAAGTAAAAATGACATTAGAAATATGGTTATTAGCTAAAATAATATCAGTTGGGATTTTATCCCATTTATCTGCTTAGAAGTCATTTGTGAAATAATTTATCTTCATATTTGTCCCAAAAAGTATTACTCAGATAGATATGGCAAATGATTTCCAGACTAACATTTGCTCCTTATCTCTTCACTTTTTTTTTTTTTTTATTAATTGCTAACATCACACAGTATTCCTTAAAATTCTTGATGAAATGATGAAAACAGTCAAGGAAACTAAATCCGAATCCATGAAATTTTGTTAACGCATACTGAAATTAGTAAGATCCTAAAGCCTTTTTAGATTTTGGACTTTTATATGAATAATCCTTGTCCATTTGGGCCTTCCAGAGGAAAAAAAAAGTTTTGTAAAATTCAGGAAAACTTCAGGATTGATAAACATTTTAACAAATCCCATTTACCAGGTGCTTACCACGACCCCACAAGCAACAGGGAATGCAATTTGTTTGCAAATACAATTCCCAATCTTGTCATTCTGCTAACTTTTTTGACATTCCAAAACCATTCTGATTCTCACTCAGTAATCTCCTTCATCTAAGTTAAGGACAAAGGCATTTTTCTTATTTGACTTGGAGTTTTCAGTGTCAGAAGAAGAGCCTGCAACAAGAACACGTGAGGCTGGGAACTACCAGGGCAGCTTCTTCAGTACCCTGCTAGCACCTGACTCCATGCTGACTGAGAGCCAGCTCTCACAACACTTAAATACAGCTTAGCAGAGGCAGGAATCAGCTCCAGGAAATGACAAGCATCCTATTCACATTCCTTTTTCAAAGGGAATTTGCACCTTTTTATGCTCTAATTACTTCTGCATGTCCAGGTAGTAGCAGCTGTCAGCCTGCTTTATCTACACATGATGGGAAATTTACCTTTTTTCTTTTGAATGCTGAACCTGACAAAATGGTTCATATTTGCTCACCAGATGGCTAAATTATTGCAAAGTACTCTGCAAGGGATGGTGTGGTTACACTGTTCAGAGGCTGCAACTGCACTGTGCCCCTGTAGTACTTATCAGGAGCACCCTCACCTGCTTTGATCATAAGTCTCTAGCTGAAATCCCAGGTGCATTTTAGACAGAGAAAGCAGAGAAGGGTAATTAGAAATATCATATTACTCCTATGTGAGAAGAGGAGATAAACTTCAGATTTGGACAGAATTAACTGAGGAAGGATGTGATGGAGATTTGCAGAGAGAATTGCATGAAGAAGAGTAGAATTTTTTAAAATAATAAAGTATTTTTTCACACAAGAAATAATCAAACCCTGGAACTCACTACCCCAAGATGTTGTGATGTCAAAAATCAAGCTATTAAATATCATGGTGTGGATATTAGCTGTCATCTCAGATTGTTGGAAGCCAGGAGAATACAATGGAGGAGGAGGGACGTATCGCCTGATCTACTCACACCCACTTCACATGAGCATCTGAGGGTGACAGTGTAAAACAGGATACGAGTCCACACAAGCCTAGGATAGGGTCTGACTGACTAAACCACTCAGCAGTCTTTCTAAGGGACATCCACTTCTCCATGAACCACCTGCATATTTTTCACAAGCTGAAAACTCTAAACACCTGTGCTGTTCATCTCACCATCTTGTGGCATGTCTTGGACAGGGGGATGTAATTTGCAGGAGGATATTAACTGATATTTCTTTCCTACCCCATTTCACTGGACCCCAGTACCCATGGCTTTGGCATGATCTATAACAGAAGTTGTAATCAAGGCTATATGACTGCTGAAGGATTATGGAGATGCTCATTTACAAGACTTACACAGTCTTACTTACTGAAATTACTGGTTTTAAATTGATGATGGGACTAATAATCAAGTACAGTGGAACTCCTTTGCTTTTCCCTTGTATTTTGAAGAGGCTCTAGAGACGGTACAAACATCATTTACTTGTGAGAGCTGTAAGCCTAGATTTGACCCTGATTCTTGGGTCTGCTGTGTTCACTTAGTGCTGATTACACAGTGTAAAGGAGTTGCAGAGCAGCCAGAAACTGCTGCTAGAGAATTTCCCCCACCAAGCTGCAATTCTCTTGCCCTACATCTTGAGGGTGTAAATCTAATTTTGACTCTGCAGCTTTTCTGCAGATTAGGAATAGGGAGGGAAGACTCAAAAAGCTACGACCAGCCCTTTAACATCACAAGAAGGATGATATGAATTCTGAGCATGCAAATCAAATGCAAATGGGCTGGGAATAGTTGACACTTGTGATCTTGCTGGATCATGTTCTTCAATGCATTAGAAGCCCTATTTAGAAGCAAATAAAGCTAAGTTTTTCGGGTATTAGTATCTCCAAGGGCTACTGCAGTAAATGGAAACCTTGAGTGCTTAGCACTTCACAGAGGTCAATTTGTTGCCTGTGTTAGCACACCTATGCATGTTTGTGCATTATTCATTTTTTTTAAAGTAAGTGGGGTGTGTGTTTTGTATTCTGCTGGTGATGGCACCTTCCTTCCTTCCTTCCTTCCTTTCTCCCTCCCTCTCTCCCTCCATTACCCCCTTCACCCTCTTCCCCCCTCCCTTCTCTCCCTCTCCTTCCCTCCTTCCCTCTGTTTATTGTGGGGAGACAACACAGTGATTCAAGTCAGATGGCACGTTGGGAAAATCTTGTCCTTGTTGTTTAAAGGAGAGAATATACCACCTGTTCCTTTTGCTTTCTTCCTTATTTCTGAACTATCTCTTCTGCCATGGTCTGGACCATATCAAAACCCAAGGGTTTGGAAGGATCCAAGGACAACAATGGAAGAAATATTACAGAAAGGGTACAGGCCTGTATAGTAATGCAGCACTGAACAAAACTATTTACTTTGCAATGTTCAAAGGTTTAAAAATGCAGCTTCTGGAGGCACTTCTGTAGCTGAGAAGAATGATACTCCAGAGCAAAAAGCAGGCAAAAATATTAATTGTTAGAGATGTTCTTGTCTCTTTCTTCACAAGGAAGAAGCCAATCTGAATGACTGGACCCTGAGGAGGAAAGGGCAGAGGAGGCTACCCTGCATCCGTCTTGTTAACACTGTCAAAGCGGAGGATGGAGAAGATTTTTCCAGCTGAACCCTGGGATACCGAGCCCTTAGACACTTCATGGCCTACTCCCTGACCACGCAGCTTCTCCACAGCCAGTGTATTAGTGATATCCCTTGTGCAGGCTGCTGCAGCACTTGTCAGAAAGGGTGGTCAGGACGTTGCCTAAAACCAGCTTTAGAATAACTCCAGCATGTGCTGTCTGACTGGCTTTGGCATGGATGAGTGAAGATACTGGAAACTGTCATCTGATCCTTCCAGCTACTGTGTTCCCCTCTCCATGGGGGACCACTGACCACATCTCAGAGGTTTTTGCAGAATTCAGAGGGAGGAAAAGGTCCTGTCACCATACTTAACAGTGTGGGAATAGATGAGTAGGAGGGTGAGCATGATTTAGACCACGGTCAGTATACTGTTAAGAACACCCATGCTGCCTCTGCTATTGCCTTACGACGGAGCATCTGAAAATTAGTCCAAACTGCTTGCGTAAATGAGATGCCCAGCTTTTTTGCTTCATGGGTTCTGCAACATACCTTGGCCATGTTACAAAGGTCTGTCTGTCTCCTGAGTCTTTTTACAAACTCTTTAACTTCTGTTAAAGAAGAAGAGGCATATGTTTCACATCATTAATACTTTACAGTCTAAAATACATTAATGAAGACAGATCTTTTAAGTTACAAAATAGATCCCTAGTGGAGCTTTGGAGGGTAACAGAGAGCACAGTGGGGGCACTAAGCCAGCATTATAGGCTGGTCTGGGGACCCTTGCAGTCAAAGCTTGCAAGGAGAAGCTGCCCAGGTCACCACTCTTCCTTCACTGTGAATCTATTAACCCATGATGTACAGGAAAGATACTTTCAACATTTTTTTACATTTAACACTTCTTAATTAAGACTAATGCTCTTTTACCTGTATGGTTTCAGGTGAATGAAAGCAATTGTAAATCTAAACCTCCTGTATTTTGTTTAGACAGTTTACATTTCCACCTTTATGCATCTATAATTCTGCAGCACTGTGAATAGGAGTTGATTTCTTTGGTTCTACTTTTGTCCTTTTTATGTGTTATATAATTATGAAAAGGTCCAAGAATACACTTCTTAAGAATAAAATATAAAATAACTGATTTTCAGTTGCAGGAAAATCAAGTATAAAGCAACTTCTGTAAACAGACAATGATTTTAAATGAAAATTTCTGTTTCTATGATGTTTCTACAAAGAAGAAAGATCAGGATGTATATACAAAGGGTCAGGGGTGATTATTGACTTATATGTCCATGCACGCACGTGTTAAAAATGTATTACTAAGATTGCTCTGTCAAGCATTCAAATGTAAGAAATGCCAGAATTAAGTTTCTCTGCAAGTCTTTCTTAGACATATGAATCCTAATACAATCTTTTGTCCACACAGGAGCTGTGCTTTACCACTGTAGAGTTGGTCTTCAGTCAAGGAGCAACTAAACAAAATGATGTTTTAGTCAGAATCTTCATCATCTATGTAATTACATACATATGTGTATGTACATATTTACAAATGCAAACATATACACACAGGTTTATAGAGTACAGACTTTTTCCAATCATCCTCAATTCCTCTAATGGAAGTCATAGTTTCCCTATAGGAGTATGACTTTTTTCCTCCCCTTTATATTGGACTATGCTGTAGCCATTAAATAATTTATCAGCATAAAACCAATTGCAAGGTGAAGAGACAGAATAACATCTAAATTTCATAGGGCAGGCTCCATATTATTTGGTCATCTACACAGCTGAAGCAATCATAGCAAGAGATAGATCTTTCTAAAGGTTTAAGTATGCTTCAATTCACCATGAATTGGGAATAATTTTGGCTTAAATTCATTCTCACACATTATCTGAGACTATTTATTTTTAACTGTATCCCAGCTACCTCTAGTTGTTGCTACTATCGAAGCTACATCAGCAAAAAAAGTTTTTAAAATAATTTGTCTTGTAAAACAATCTGTTCTGCAGTTTAATGAGAAGTTATTTTTGAAAATTTCTCTCTTATTCAAACCTACCATTAGATTTGGATGTTTGGAGCATTAATGGAAATCCTCCCAAAGGATTAAGCATCCAACATTTAACATTTTCACTGAACAGTCTGATTGAGTCAATGTGTTGTGCAGGCACCTCCTCCAGGAAATCAGGAAGTAGGATATTCTCCAGCTCCTAGAATACAGATTCATGGTGCTGCAACTGATGGGTGTACTACAGATATTTACAGCATCACCAAATAAAATTGTATTGATAGTTTAAATGTAAAGAAGCCCATTTTTTTCTTCCAATTAAGCAAAAGCTAAGCTACCTTTATTAGCAGAAGGAAAAAGATCTTAAGACTAAATGTTGTTTCCTGAGTTAATTACTAGACACTGCTTAATGACCTGCTGCAAGTAAGAAGCAAATTATTTTTATTAGAAAACTGCGTATTTCTATGTGGAATGTCACTGAGAAATGCAGTAGTGTTCTCAAAGGAAAAGTAACTCTCATAATCTGGAAAACAGTTATCAGTTGAAATTTCAGTCACATAACCTCATGCCAGAACCACAGACCACATTTATAACAGCATGTTCCACTGATATTGAGGACTTTCAAATTAATACATAGGAGGAAAATGGAAGCTATCTCAAATTCCACTGGCTCCCTTCAAAACACATACTATTCTCTCTCAGAAGACGCCAAAGAACAGAGATGAGATAAGAACAAAAATCCCATTTGTACAGCACCCAAGAAACATCTGACCTTTCTCCTTATATAGAATTACTAAAAAGACACAAACACATAGTAGCATGATTCCAACAAGCAAATGTGTCTACAATACCTTGAATAGATACCTATCATAGCTTTTTAACAGCTGGCACACATCTGGCAAGCACATCAGTTCTATTCTTTCAGGCTGCAGAGACCTCCAGAATGACGTGATACAGTCTTCTACCTGTCACACAAAGCCATTTTTGAATCGTTACTGATTTTGCACTTGTGAAATGTGAAGTGTAATTCAATAAAACAGCACACAAGCATAGAAGCAGAGGAATGACTGTAGAGACGGGCTCTTTACCGGGGCCAATTCTGGCTGGGCTCCAGCGTAAGTGGAAAAGTCCTGAGGAGGTGGCAACAAGCTGAACCTCACAAGGCAGTGTAGGAAAGAGGGGAGAAACAAAGAATTGTGCCATGGACATGAGGATATAATGAAAGATATGTGCCCATGGCCATGTGTTATGTGCTGGGCTCAGACTTTTTGATGTGCCAGGAGGGCTCAGGATATGCTTACAAACTCAGATTCTTGGAGCATGTTGTGTTAATTCAGAATTTCAAAATAACTTGACTGAATGCTCCTTTAGTCCACAAGTGATCATCTACCATAGATCAAACTATGAAGTAAATACACTACACAGACACAATTTTTTCCTTACAGTTGTTTGCTGTTGTCAGAAGAAGTGCTATTAAAGAAAAGGCATACCTTGTCAAACTTGTTCTCTCTCACCATTTGTAAAATAACTTGACAATAGTTGTAGTAGTCATTGGCAAGCAGTGCAATCTGTGATCAAAAAGAGAGTATAAAATGATGTCACAGTGAAAGAGCTAATTTGCTTTATGATCAGATACTTTGAACGTACCATTTCGTAGGGGTCTGTCTCACTTTGCACTCTCTCTCCAAGGAAGAACTGGTTGAATTCAGGAAAAAGATATTGAAATGTCTCTTTCTCAGCCTTTAGATAAATGACAGATGGGTAATACTCCAAACTCTTACTCTTGATGCATCAGAATTTGTTTTGAACAATAAAAAGAAAAAAGATTGCAATTATTTTGTCAGTTCAGTTGGAGGTATTAAGTATTTTCTTGAAAATGTAGAGCATGATTTTTTAATAAGATGTGTTTCTCCAGAGAAACGCTTATCCTTTTTTTTTTTTTTTTTTTTTTTTTTTTTTTTTTTTTTTTTTTTTTTTTTTTTTTTTTTTTTTTTTTTTTTTTTTTTTTTAAAAAACAAAATTGGGGTGGATGAAAGAAACAAGTAGGGCTGCCTACCTAAATGTTTAAATCCTAAACCGTACATGAATTTCTTTTTAAAACCGGTGAATATTTAATGCAATACATATCTTCCACATATATTTTGTATAGCACTCATGTCTTACTGGTAACCTTCTGAATAAGGCTGCAGATAGTTGTCTGTGCTGTCAGGGTGACAGCAGACTTCTCATTGGCTGTCATTACATCCACTTCAGAGCACTCTTTACTCTACTCGAGCACTCCGTAAAAGTAACACAGACATCCAGTCTCTCGTTTTTTCCTCACTTTGGTCCGCATAAGTTTGTTGCTCATGCTCTGCTGGTTGACACGACAGCTCACTGAGGGGAGAACTGCCGCAGGTTAGCTGTGCATCCACCCTTTTCAGTGAGCAGGGGCTGTGCTCTTTTTTCTTAATCATTCCCTAGTATTTAAATACTTATATCATGCCAATAAACTCTGAGCATGTTGAAAAGACACTGTCTCACCAGCATGAGGGCCTGGTACCACGGGCCACAGGCAAGGAAGGCTGTGCCCCACTGACTCCCCTAATATTCGAAACCTGGGCTGTCAGCTGCAATTTCCACTCTCAGTACAGACAAAATTGTTTGAGCTGACGTTAAGACAACAAAAATATTTAGCTAATGGGTGAAATAGGAGTGGGGGAAGTAAACACATAGTGAGATTACACAGACTATTTGATTATTTTGAAGAAGATGGGCAAACTGTATTTCATCAGAACATATTAGATAGCAATTCTAACTAAACACACAGATTGACATTTTGTTATGTCTAATGTATCTGAAACTCACTGTTCCTTTTTTTTGTCTATTCTTCTTGTAATCAGCTGCATTTTCAGAACTCCAGGAATTACTACTGTGATAAAATATACAACAGAAAAAACAAACTTTAAAAAGCTCACCAATTTATTCTGTATTTAGTAAGAAAATGAGCTCAAACTGGATAGAGTACACTAGGTTGGAGCATTGTGTTTGGGAAACAAACCCTGCTCTCTTTCCTGTCATTCAGTGGCCCCATGATTTTCTAACAAATCTGAAGACCAATTGCTTAATTTTAAGATAAAACTGAAACAGTAATTATAAAGACAACAAGGTATTGGCCATCTAGCAGTGCAATGACTTTGAACTTCTTTCACCAGAACCATGGGTTTCTATTTGTAATTGCAGTTTGTGTGGGATGGTAGTAATTATTATAAACATGAACATAACAAAAGCATAATAATCCTTATGCTTAGATTTCAGAATTATGACATTTTCTGCATTGTACATCAGTTTAAATAGCAGTTTGTTTCTGACTTTCACCCATCTACTGTGCAAGCTGGCCACGATGTTCCACACAGTCAGAATTTACTTGGACCTGCACAGGCTTGACAATGGCTTTTAGCTGGAAAGCCAGGGATGAAGGCACAACAGGCTGCCTTGTTGCTGTGCTATCTCTATGATCTCCTACCTGTCTCCCTGCCTGTTTTGCTGAGGCTAAGGCTAGTGGAGGGAGAGACAATGTTGCTAGTAAAAGGGGAGCGCTATGAGAATTGGATGCCTCCAGTCAAGCCTCCATCTGCTGCTGACACCTGCTCACTGTCTGTGAAAGCATTTTGAAGTACAGGGTCCTTTTGGACTCGGCTGTTTTGAAGGGTGACAGGCAGGGGCTTTGTAGAAAATGAGCTTCCACTGGTGATTGCCAGCACTCAGGCTACCTAATCAGAACTTGGCTGCTGGGTTTCACTGTTGTGATGTATTATAAACCGGGGTACCACTGTATATCCTGAAGGGGCTGAGGACAAAATGTAACAGCTTGAATTGCTTTCTGAAAATTAGTGCCTAAAACCACAGCTGCTGAAAATGCTTCCTCTCACTTCTCTGCTCCTCGCAGGACTGACCCTTGCCACCTTTCCCTCTGCCACTACTCTGTGCCATAAAGGCTGTGCTCCAAAGAAACCACCAAACTGGCTGCCCAAGACAGGGCACAACATTCATGTTGGGCATGTTTGGTAGTTCTGGTGATTCTTTCTCCCAGACATTTTAGAGGACAAAGGGAAACACATGTAAGTAGACATTTTATAATGCTTCTTTCAAATGGGTCCTTCCTGCAGATTTCTAAAGCCTCTGAAATACAATTAATGAATATTTTCCAGCTCCTGCTCTCCCTGAGAAGGCGGCCAGCTGTATTTTTTGCTGCCGCTACCATGGCAACGTGTATCAGCGCTGCTTGCCTCCAGTGGGTTGGCTCCCACGGCAGGCTGGCTCCCGCTCCCCCCACGCAGGGACATCTAGGGGTGAGAAGGGGTGCTGCGTGGGTTCTCCTGTGCCCCGGCAGCCGGGAGCTCAGCGGAAGTTAAATGGAATACCTATGGAATGCCAACATCTATGTGTCCCCATTGTTAGCAAAGGGGATTGGGATTCACCTGGTGCCTGCAGAGGTGCTTGGCTGCACATCAGAGATGCTCACTTCTCCTGGCGAGTAGTGCCTGGGTAAAGACAAAACACACAAAAGAGGAGGTGGGTGGGAGAAGGGGAAAATGGGTGACAGCAAAATCACAAGGAGATTCACTGTCTCTCTTGCAGAGTTTGGATGATGCTGTGGGGTAGGAACTAGAGCTAAAATGGGAAATACAAGCGTGGAGATGACAAAAATATTAACAGAGGCAAATGGGAAGGACAAAAGAAAAAGGAAAGGAGGAAAGGTGGTGAATGTGCATGCTATTGACTGTCAAATTACACTGAGATTAGAAAAGTTGATTTGCTACATTCATATCTGATTTTTTTTATGAAAAAATCATGGGTTTGTTTCACAGTGAGGAGCCTAAACCTTTCCTATTACTAGAATCATAAAGCACCTCTTACAAAACCAAAATTCAATTACTTTTTTTTTTAAATACTGCTGTAGTCTGAGCCACAGGAAGTACCATCTTAGAGAGTGCTTGTCCTCAAAGCTCCCATTCCTAGAGGGAATGTATTCCTATTATAATGAAAATCAGCAATTAACATATTCCCTTAATGTCTGTAACGCATTTGGAGTCCTCTTGGATTACAGTTGTGCTTATTTGCACTATTTTCATAACATCATCATCAGACTTGTGGTACACATATCCACAAAGAATCAAAGATTTCTAAACGAACCAGCTCACAGGTGGTTCTTATCACTACTTGTGTGAACATGTTCCAACCCTGATACATTCAAGGCCCCATTGACTATCAAAATGCAAATGCCTTCTTTATATTCAAAGGCACACCATCTCACTGCCATTTCTACGACACCAACAAGCATAGCTCCCAAGCTGCCCGATCCTTCAGAGGTCTAGTTCCTCACTACCAGCACCATGTCGATTGCTGACTATTTCAACATGGTCAAGAAATATCCTTTTCGATAATTAGAAAGAATCATTCATAGTTTTGAAACAATCATTTTCTTCACCAACCCGCAGGATGGATGGATGCCTTGGTCTCTCAGCTGGGCCCTGGGATCCACCTTCCCCTCTACTAGGTGTAGCAGAAAAAACATCTGCATGTTGGACTTTATTTATGCATGGGAGGGCGCAGTAGTTATTTAGGACACATTCACTACTGAAACAGATATCTCCTGTCTCTTCCAGAGAGAAGTGGCAACAAGCCAGAGAAGTATATCCCATTACAGGAGTCTGGTCCACAGACCAGCATTTGAACTGCACTGAAACGGTATATTAAAAATCTTTTTCACTCTAATTTGGAAATTTCCACATCAACACACTCTCAAAAACTGAGATTTTATATGTCAAATACCTAGGGCATGGGTATACATGTGATTACCAATGTGAGAACAAAATTTCTTCTTGTAGGTAGAAAAGTCTAAAAGTTCTAATTATTCTTTTTCTAATATTCAATTTTATAGTTAAAAAAACAATTGAGAATTTGCCATTGCTAATTTTACCAGCTTTGTTGGATCATAAAAAATTAACTGTGATTTCGAAAAGTGCTGAACCCTAGTGATAGGATAGTAAAGATGAGGTATTTCCTTGATATATTCCTACTTAAATACAAAGAATGTACAGAACTCTATACAAATGAAAACTAACTGATTTATTTGGTTGAAGCTGATGTTTATTTTGTATGTGACCTAATTATTTCTTTCAGAGTTGTGCTACTCATGCTTCTCTGGCTATGTCTTGTGCTTTTTCTCTGTTTTTTCCTGCTGTGCTCTATGAGACACTAAGAAATAATTGAGACACCTGGCTGCCCAGGTTTTGTGGGGCTGTATGTTGGCTTGGGACAGGGGCATGTGGCTGCATTTAGAGTGGAAGCTGTTCTGATTTCAGCTGTCTGGCTTCACAGCTTAGTGTCTTCTTATATCTGTCTTAAATGAAGGAAGCATTAGATAAGATAATTTTGCAGTTAAGGGACTTTTCTACTGCAGCTAGAAAGATGCCCTTTGTCTAATTACAATCGTGTTTTTTTTTGATTTTTTTTTTTTTTAATATGAAAAATTATAGAATCATAGAATAGTTTGGTTTGGAAGTGACCTTCAAAGATTATCCAGTTCAACCCCCCTGCCATGGGTAGGGCACCTTTCCCTAGACCAGGTTGCTCAAAGCCTCATCCAACCTGGCCTTGAACGCTTCTAGAGATGGGCATCCAAAATTTCTCTGGGCAACCTGTACTAGTGCCTCACCATCTTCTCAGTAAAGAACTTCTTCCTAATACCCAGTCTAAACCTACCTTCTTTCAACTCGAAGTCATTCCCCCTTCTTCTATCACCACATGACCTGTAAAAAGTCCCTCTCCAGCATTCTTGTAGGCCCCTTTTAGGTACTAAAAGGTCTCCCCAGAGCTTTCTCTTCTCCAGGCTAAAGAACCCCAACTCTCTTAGCCTTTCTACAATAGGACAGCTGTTTATGTCAAGAAACAATATCAAGGTCAGTAAACAGCTAGTTGATTTCAGCCCTTTCTCTGGAATACATCCCCTTTTCCTTGGTTTGACCAAATGAAATATCGTTTTTTTGGAGCAGGTGTCTGGGCAGGCACCACTGCTGCTGGAGAAGGAGCAGGAGGTCTGCAGCTGGTGCATCAGCTCCCCTATGGTTAAGCATGGGCTGCAGCATGTTCCCCAGCCCATTGGAGAAGATGGCTCATTTCCATGAGGAGGGCCAAGGACAGAAGCTGTGCTGGCATATGTGGTGCCTCTGTCTCCCAGTTGTGGCTAAAGTCCTTCTTTCTGCGTCTGGCCCAAACTTAGCCAACACTGGTTCTTTGGTTCCTCCTACTTTTTGTAATTTTTCCTCATATTTCTATGCTGAGAGGAAAAAAGAGCAGCAATTCAAATTGTTCTGTTCTCTCTCATCTCTGCTGTGACCAGAACCACCAGCTCTCCAGCTATACACATCACGATAGCTGTTTTCAAGTGATGCTGCTGGAAAACTTTCTTTTCCTGAAGAAGAAAGACCAACATAGACTTAGTCAGAGACCTGTAATGTTTCTTTAACAGTGGACAAGACCCTTCCTAATTGTGGATATCAATTCTTATATCAAATCTTAGGCTGGTTCTGGTAATACTGGGTGCAGAAGATGTGAAGACTGTCACTTCAGTGAAGGGTGTCATGAGAAATCAGCCTCAAATTTCCTATGAATAATTTGTTTGGTCTCACAACAACTGACTGCCACTTGATTATCATCTGCAGAACCTGATCCTCTGCACTGTCCCATCATTTACTGTTGTTCCTCTATGGACTTCCACAACATTTCTCTGCTATAAAACCTGTAGATAAAGGCAAGAAACCTATGGGTATATTTTTTTCCATGCTCTTGCAGAGCATGCACTCAGTTAATTAAATATTATATAATATATCACAGACACTGAGAGTATTAAACTCAGATATCACCAGATATCTGGGTGCTTAATAGGCTGACTTGTATCGCCCTAACATTCATGCTATGGAATAATGCTATATCTCCATATTAAAGAATAGAAACCAAAGTATGGAATTTACCCTTATACACACCAAAGTAGTGTACAATAATATAAGAGAGCGAGGATACAAGACTGATCTTCAAAGTCCATGGCATAGGCTGCACTTAATTTTCTTCTCCTGTGCATTAAAAAGAAGTGTAAAACTGTTACAGAATGGCAGCATTTTCCTTCCTTTTTTTCTGGGGAGAAAGGCAAGCCTGTGGTTTGTTTATCTGAACCATGAGCTTAACCACGAGATTCTTCCTCTCCTGCCCGCAACTGGAACATGCTCCTGTCTACACTCTAATCTGCCAAAGTATTTTACATTCATCAATTATTTTCAGGCTTTCAAGTTTTACAATCAATTTATACTTGTCTTACACTGTGTTCTCTTACAAGAGGTGATTTTAAAATCTGTTATTTCAAAATTAAGTAAAGGAAGTGTTTTTGAAATAATATGCCTTCTTGTTTCAAGTAGTAAAAACCCCATATAAAACGATTGTGTGTGGGACTCTTCAAAACAGCGCAGTCATTTATACTTCAATACTCTTCAGCCCATTGTTCAGTAAGGAAGGTGATACAATGACATGAAGGCATTTCAATATGGGTTTTTTGAGCTCCCATTTAGAGTCTCAATATATTAAGCTCTTCTTTTAGGTTTGGCATGGGTTCTTGCTCTTAAGATTGACATGGCTAAAATGTCCAATTCAAGGATGCCCAATTAGGCAAGGTCTGTTTCCCAAATGCAGTTTCTCCATTAGGGTTCAGCACCTAATGGCATAGCACTTTAATAGTGTGTGTAATGAGAAGAAAAATATAATGCTATTGTCAATGTTCAACAGATGATTTACAGACTTTTATGTACAGACAATATATATACTGTCATGTGACTTTTTTTGATTAATACATTTTAAAAAACAAACCTGAGATAATTTTGTTCATACAGAAGACAGCAAAAACGTGCATAAAAGGAAGAGTTCTTCTTGATAGCTATTCCATCATAATGATATCTAGAAAATTAAAAAAAGATCAACTGACAACCATACGATTTTCATCAAGTCATCGTATAATTCACAATCCTCCTTCGAAAGCAGATCATTCTATTTAACCAAGGAAAGACTAAGTAAAAAACCCCTTATGTTTGTTTTTTAAATTCTGTTTAATATTTATTTTCCCCAACAGAAAAAAAATTACATGAACTATTTACAAACTCTATTTAACAGTTTTCGCCCTGGAATGACACCTTTTTCTAAATGAAAAAAAAATTAAGCCAGTGAATAGGATGCAACAGATTTGTACAGGCCAGTTAGTGAAGTCAGGGGCCAGGGTCTCAGCAGACAGAGGTCTTCATATATCCATGGAAGTTGAAGGACTTAGTGCAGCTGTTTCCTGGCCATGCACAGTAGCTTGAGGATTAGATGGCCCATCAGTGGTCATGGCAAGCTAAAACTCAGTAAACCTGGCAGACCTTCTCTAAGGTTTATCCTGAGCTCAGTGAGCAATGGAGTCACCACCTCTGCTACCAAGGTGCCTTGAGCTGGCTCTTCCCAGATTGGGCCACCATGAAGCCAAGGGAGCAGTGCCATGGTTTGGGGCCACCAGTAGCCAGGAAGCAGTAACCTTCTGCTGATGGAGAGAGCTGGGAGGCTGGGGGCTACCAAACACATCCCAAATCCTGCCTACTATGAGGAGAAGCCTGGGAGTGTCTGCAGTGAGGCACTCCCAAATTAAAGGATCTCTTGGCTCAAGCTGATAGCAAGCCCAGACTAGTGGAGAAAAGCTGCAGATCAGGTAAGGGCATGTTGTTCTCAGAGCCTGTACTTGACAGCTACACAAAATGCTTATAAAATTTCTCTATTTCAGTATCCTTAAAACATCCCCTTTCCCAGTCTGGATGTTCAGAATGTGATCATAATTTGGATATAAAAGAGCATCAAACTCTCTGTGCTCTAGAAGAAGAGAGGAAAGGGAAAAAAAAGGAGAGGTAGGAGGAGGATCTGAAATTGTCTGATTTAAATGGTTTGAAAGTGTTTACAGCATTTCAACTGACCACCAGTATGTGCTGAGTAATTCCACGGATATGTGCAAGGATGAAAAACACAACACAGACATCAGTCATGGCCCCTGTGCATCTCAGAAACAGGCTTTCCTGGCCTTGAGACCCAGTGTCTGAGGAGCTCTGAGTAAGGGTGTGATGTCTAGCAGATGCCTCATGCAAACCATGTTGTTAGTAGCCAGTACAAATCAGAGCAATAATTTTTTTTTAAAGCAGTCTGACCTGGAATTCATGCCCCACCAAAGGAGATCCGATGCGGTGGTTTTCATGGAATTAACTCTATTTTAACATCCTTGGTGACACCATAAATCACTCTGGATCTTGTGATGTGTTACAGACTTGCAACCAACAGTTAAGCTGCTATATTGCAGTGCTGGGACTGAAAAGTCAGCCACTTTAAAATTTTATTAGAATAGTTAGAAGTAACATTTTCAAAGAAAGGACATAAAACCAATACCTGATACTCCCTGCCGTGGTCCGCTTTCTTGTCACCAGACCTGGGAAAACTAACTGAATAAGCTGTAAAGACAAACACAAAATTAGAGGTACTTCGCAAATTCATTCTAAAACACAAAAATGTATCTGCCTCCATTTTTTGTCTTTATCACTTAGTTTGCTTTCCATCATTTGCAGGCTAATTCCTGTTCTTACATACCTCTCAAATGGTAACTCTTGAACAGAACTCACTCAGGCTTTTGTGGATCCACGGCTAAGTAATTTAAGGGATTACCTTAAGGTCAGGTTCCACAGTGTAATTAGACATTGTCAGGTTAATAATCCACTTCACTACGATTATTCTGCATGAGCTGTCCTGTGAAGACAGAGACTAACCCAGGACACCTGGAACTAACATTCCCTATATAGCAGGAATAGAAGATCCAGTACTCCGTGTTAGTGAGGAGTGAGAAGTGTCCATTCAGCAGTATACAGCTTGGACTCTGTGCAGAGTATGTGTCGCTGGTCCAAAGGCCCGATAAAGGACATATTTCCCCAGCTCACATTGACATGCACCTCCAGTTTCAACAGCAGTCCTGTTCTTCGCATGTTTCTGCATACATCTACACCAGCTGCTCCCTTTCTCAAGCTGATAGTTTAGCATAATCTCATTTTCCTCAAAGGGCAGCCTATGAAACTGGTGCTTCTGTGGCACAAGACACACACCTCCTCCCCTTGCCTCTTCTACAGAGACAGCAGTATATTTAAGTAGAGGGACAGGGCAGATGACATAAGTAGTGTCTTCAGTCACCACAGTTTGGTTCACATGGGGCTTGACTGCAAAAGCCCTCACAGTCCACATGTATGTAGCGCTGTCAGGTTACTACAGCTTGGTGAATTATTAATAACTCAGCCCATTAGCAAGGCTGGGGTAACTGATTACATGTGCACCTTCAGTTTAAATCAGGGCTGCTGGAGTTCCTGTCCTCCTCAGCTTCTTGCTGCATGGTCCTTTCTCATGCTGCATAAGGACAGACCATTTCAAGCCACGGGGGAGATGCACCCCAGCTTGCTCCTTTGGGATGTGTTAGCTTGCACCACAATGCACTGGGTCAGTTGAGGCTGTGAGCAAACAGTTGCAAGTACCAACCCATAGCAGCTCTGGCTCATCAGCTAAGCTCTCCTGCGTGACCAGACTCATGCTTCATCTGTGCCTGTCCCAACTTAAAAGTAAAATGCATTAATGTAAACCACAAGAAGGCTGGTAATCAGTCATGCTGGAGTACCTGAGAGTGTACAGGCAGAATGAAATTAATCTCACCTATGTGGCTACAAGGCAGAGATATCTAAGCTAGTCACTGTAGACTCTGTTGTCAGTGGAGAAAAACAGGCAGTTCTGAGGCACATTTCATCTGAGCTGACTGAGATGACTCATTTAGTGTGAAAGGGAACATATGTACCTACTTATTTCTCTCCATTGGCTACCAAGAGATTTTTAAGGTGACCAGCTTCATGGCAGATGTCTACACTGAACCAGGCAAATTCTACCTATGGTCTTAGCTGATGACCCATTCAGCTATGGTAATAAATCACACTGGATCTCTCTCACAATTCTTAATTTTCAGTAAAAGTGATTTAACTTATCCAGTAAAAAAAGTAGATTCAACTGAATTGAGATAAATGATTCCTAAAATGAGGTTATCCACATAAATGAAATTGATTTGTTACAACTTGTACTTACATTATTTTGGACTTGTATTAAAACAGTGCTTAGTAGCTCTTAATGTGGGAACTAGTAAAATATTATCAGTTTAAAAGAAGTACTGAACAAAAAGTCTTGAGCAAAAAATAATCACACAGTTTTCTATCTTCCTTACTTAGTTAAAAAATGTTGAATAGCTATGGGTGTTCATTGCAACTGGGATTTCTAAGTGGTAATTCCTCTATGGGTTGCATCAACCTCCACACAGTAGAAGAGTGGAAGTGTTAGAAGGAGATTCAGTTTTACATCTGCATTTGTTTTGCTTGGATGTATCTGTGGTATGTCTGGAGCAAAATCTCCACAAGTATACTTTAGGGGGAAAGTATAAAATTATGTAACAATGGAAGGCATCTTTTAAGGACAGAAGAATCAATTTCTTGGGATGAGTTGTTTAACCTGTTGTTAAAAACTGAAAGCTGGTAAAACTTTCTAAAATATATTGGTAAAGGAAATCTTTGCTAGTGTAACGTACATCAGTTCCCCGAAGAAAATAAACTCCATCACAGACAACCCTCATTTCTCTAGTATAACTGCATCTACATGAGGGCTTACCAGAAATACATTAGAAAACACAAAAGCATAATACATTACATTTTCATTCTTCTCTGTTACCTAATCTCGTTTGATATGCAGTGTATATATTTGATGATCAAATTTTCTGTTTAGGCATCCCTGCTTATCTTACATATCCTGTCTACTCTGTACCTTTCCAAAGGTGGATGGATGTACTTGAATCTTGAAATCGGGATTGCAGGTTTCAATATACAGTTCATGTAGGAGCCGACAGGGTACTGTGCATCCTCCACACAAGTAGAAATTATCAGCTAGCCTTTAAAACAAAATCATCAATTGGTTTATATCAGAATTAGAAAAAAGATTTGTTAGATTTTCAAATTCTATTTTCCTTGTTTCCAAGGTGTAAGAGATGTCATGTGAGATTCTGTTATGCAATTAACTAGTTCTCATAAATTTTTAAATAAAAAATATAACTTTGTAATATTATAACATTAACAAAATAGAGCCAGTATTAGCATTTCTCATATGCTTATCAAAAGATCTAACTTTGGTTTTCTAAACGGAAGGGTCTCCACTACACCAAAGACAATAATATGAGAATTTTTCCACCTTAATGTGTGATACGGTGATTTGGAACAGAGAGTACACAAACTGTAAAGGACCAAATTCTGTTTTCATACAACCTCATTGATTTTAGAACAGGTTTCTTAAGAGAACAGAACTTTAATTTACAGTTACTATGTAACAGAACTACCAGGACTGAAAAAGGTTTAGATGTTTAAATACTCATCCTCTGGCCAAATCCCTGACTCATCCTACTTATCAGAATGGCCATAGTCAAGTAAATGCCACTACTTGTGTAAATAAGGTGAGGAAGACGTAAACTTGGTTACTTATTAGCCTAAGGTATTACCTTTACTGGGAAAAAATGACTTTTAATTGTGAGATAATGCCAATGGTTTTGATGTCAGAGGATAATAGGCTGCAGTACAAATACAGGAGCAAAGCTGAAGCAAAGGAGCAGAGAGATTAATTTTCAAAGCCTGACACACTGTTTGTATGACAGTGGTTTCTTACTGTAACTGTGCTTCCATTCTACCAAATGATTTATGCATATTTAATTAATTAATCAGCTGAATGCTAGTGCAGCACAGTGCCAGTTACTCACTGTGTCTACTGATAATCCAGCTGATTGGGAAAGAAGACTTTTCATATTCACTGGGTGAGACAAGCCAGCTGGATTTTAAATCAGCATCCTCTGTTTTATCAGTAGCCTGATTTCAGACAACCCAGTATTTATCTTTCTGAATTAGCTGTATTGGCAGTAGATAGCAGATAAGGTCTTCAGCAAACTGGCTTCTAGAACAGACTGAGCAAGAAGATGGTTGCTGTGCTGCCTGACAATATCTGCCTCAGCTTTTATTCATGCCTCCTACCCTTCTTCCACTGAAGAAGGCTCTCTGCCTCCCCTAGACTGCCTTTTCCCCAGCAAAAGATCCCCAAATACCTCTCTTATACATCTTTGGAGACCACCTTCTCACCCACCAGCCCAAGAGGCTGGTACTGTCAAGCACCAGAGCTGAGGTGTGCTGAGCTCCCTGTCAGATTCCCACCACCTCCAGCCCTACCACCCAACAGAAAAAGCTTCACTGAAAGACCTGAGCAGGAACCTGCATCTAAGATACGGGATCTGCTGCATTACTGGGGTATTTCCCATCATCAGGCTAAAAGGTAAATGAAATTTATTCTAGATAAGAGTCCTGGCTGAGCTCTGCCTCCCAGTAGGCAGAAATGTTGTTTCTTCTAAAGCAACCATCTCAAAACCCTTCACAATTAAGCAGTCCCACGGGAGATTAAAGCTCAGTCCAAACTCATCCTTAATATAACACCAAAAGAGTCACTGGAAGTGCATCATAAATTAATTCATGCTTCAGTAGCTGGTTTCTGCTGGTTTTTTCTCAGCATTTAACTACTTAGAGACAAAGTATTTCGGAATTTCCTTTAGTGAATTTATCATCTATTAAACTGCCAGTCTTTTTCAAATAATAAGTTAAACATATTCTTACTGCTGACACATAATACAAGAATACTGTCTAATAGGGAAAAAAAAATCCACACAGAATAGAGCATAGTGTTCATTTTCTTGCCTATTAGCCCTGAGATTTTCAAAACTTGAGGTTTTATGGCATCATCATACCAAAACTGGTAATAAAGACAAAAAAATCAGAAGAAAAGAGTGGTAAGGGAGAAAGATGGAGGTTAAATAAAAAGCACATGGAGAAAGACCTCCTTCATTTATCTACTGTCTATCCACACTTTGTGTGTGGTTTATTATCTGATTGATTTTGGGACCTCACATGGTTTTTGGGGTTTGCCACCTGTTCTATTTGAACCCCTGGCAGCTAGGCCATTTTACAGGTTGGCAAGTCTGCTGTTAAAGCATTTGTGGACCAAAATCTGGTTTGCTGTTGACAATGCACCGACTGCAAAATGAAAAGGGGATTCAGAAGGTCATCATTATGAAAAAAAAACATCAGTTCATCCTTTCAAGGATTGTTTATGATTCAGTTTTATGCTGTGTCTCAAACCTGTTGAATGAATGACCTTGCATGAATCTCTTCCTTCTGTCCTTTTAAAATGGGAGGACTGGTATCTATATCACAGTAAACACACAGATGAGCTCCCACTGCTTAGGTATTACTGAGAGGTAGAATAAAATGTTCAAGGATTAGTTGCTGAGAAGTTAAAAGTTTGTTTGTATGTGTTGTTACCGTTTCAACACTATTTACTAGCTGGACTCGTCTGTGATTGGGGAAAGTAGAAAAGTACCCCTGGTTTCTGTTTGGCTGTCACATGGCAGGTGACGCTCTTCTCAAAGCATGAGAAAATTATGGCAACTTTAATCCACCATAGAAAGCATCTCATTAAGGATTTCAGCCATCACCTTTGTCTCAAGAAAGTGTAACCTCAGAGAATGTCAAATGCTCAGCATCACTCTGAGTGAGTGCCAGTGTGCCACCAGCTGTGCAGCCTTGCAATCACCCGTGGCATGCTGTAAGAGCCCACTAGTCATGAGTGGTCCAGTCAGGGAGAGCCCTCGCCAGCTGCCCTGCAGCATCACACCAAGTGGGTGGCAGCCCAGGGGCCAGGTCCCGGCCAGTGGTCAGGCTGACACAAAATCCCCCGTGTCAAACCACCTTTATATCAGAAAGGCTTGAGGCAGGAGATGGGACTTTCAGGGAAGTTTCCTCGCTTTCCCGACATCGTTTATGCACTACAGTGATGACGGGCCCTTGCAGCAAACCAGACGTCTTGCCCCGCGGAAGGGCGAGAAAGGCTAAAAGCGGGACTCCTGCGCTGCCCGTGCAAGCCCACCCGGCAGGTCCTCCCTCCCGGTGAGGGGAGAGCCCAGTCAGCCCCGCCACCTCCCCGCTCCATCCCCAGCCACGGCCCGGCCCCGGCTGCGGCGCAGGGGCAGCACCCACCACTGGAGGACGGGCAGGTAGGTGAGGGAGGTGGGGCCGCAGTAAGCCATCTCGGCCGGCTCCTGCGCGGGCTGTGCGGGGCTCTCGGCCATTGGTGCGGGGCGGCGGGGCCGGGACCGGCCGGTAACGGACGGCGGTAACGCCCGGCCCGCGCCCGCCCCGCGCCGCCCCCGCGCCCGCCGCGCCCGCCGGGGGAGGGCTGGGCTCGGTGCCACCGCCGGCATCCCCGGCATCCCCCGGCATTCACCGGCATTCCTGGCACCCGCCCCCCTGCCGCCAAATGGGAATTCATTCCATAGGAACTGCCGGTGAGAAAAGGAATTATGTGCAAATCGGAAAGAGGTGCGAATGGCCGATTGTGCCGCTCGACAGTAGAGTATCACTGCGGTGACAGGAAAAGGGGGAATGGCTTCAAACGGAAAGAGAGTGGGTTTAGATTATGTATTAGGAAAAAAATGGTTTTCTTTTCTTTACTGTGAGGGTGGTGAACCACCGAAACAGGTTGCACAGAGAAGTTGTGGATGCCCCATCCGTGGAAGGGGACAATGGATGCTCCATTGTTGGATGGGGCTTTGAGCAACATGGTCCAGTGGTAGGTGGCCCTGCCCATGCCAGGGGTGTTGGAACTAGGTGATCTTTAGGATCCCTTCCAACCCCGGCGATTCTATGATTCCATGATTCTGTGATCACAAGTGTCATCTTAATAGGTTTTGCACGCCTTTAAAATGTTACTTTCAGAGTTTTCAACAAGAATGCCATAACCTCCTATAATTCTATAATAAATCATAGAATCAACTAGGTTGGAAAAGACCTCTGAGATCATCAAGTCCAACCCTTCATCCAACACCACTGTGGTTACTAGATCATGGCACTCAGTGCCACATCCCATCTCATCTTAAAAACCTCCAGGGATGGTGAATCTACCACCTCCCTGGGTAGGCTGTTCCAGTACCTGATTACCCTCTCTGTAAAGAATTTCTTCCTAAAATCCAACCTAAATCTCCCCTGGCAGAGTTTAAGACCACACCCTCTTGTCCTTCTGCTGGTTGCCTGGGACAAGAGACTGACCCCCACGTGGCTACAAACTCCTTTCAGGTAGTTGTAGAGAGTGATGAGGTCACCCCTGAGCCTCCTCTTCTCCAGGCTAAACAACCCCAGCTCCCTCTGCCTCTCCTCATAGGACTTGTGCTCAAGTCCCTTCACCAACCTCTTTGCTCTTCTCTGGACCTGCTCCAGCATCTCAATATCCTTCCTAAACTGATGGGCCCAGAACTAGACACAGCACTCCAGGTGTAGCCTCACCAGCAGGGGAAGAATCACTTCTCTGGTCCTGCTGGCCACACAGTTCCTGGTACAGGCCAGGATGCCATTGGCCTTCTTGGCCACCTGGGCACACTGCTGGCTCATGTTCAGCTTCCTGTAGTTCCAAACTCCAAGGTCCCTTTCCTCCTGGCTGCTCTCCAGCCACTCTGTGCCCAGCCTGTAGCCCTGCAGGGGGTTGCAGTGGCCAAAGTGCAGGACCCGGCACTTGGCCTTGTTGAACCTCATCCCATTGGAATCAGCCCATCTCTCCAGCTTGTCTGGGTCCCTCTGAAGAAAATTGTTTAATTTCTCTTTGATGCATGTAGATGAAAGGTCTGTCTGCTCTGCTGAAACCCTGTAAGCACTTTTCCATTGTAAGTATCCACTATGCAAAATTAGCTTTGCTGCCATGTGACTGATGAACATAAATTATGTATGGCTGGAGCATCTAAAAGCTTACTAGTGGATGGCTTTGGGTTACATCAGAGCTCAGCTTCTCAGAAACTCCCACGGCTCCCTCCTGTTAATTAGGTTCCTGAAAGCCCACGTATGAGACAGACTGGCTTGCTTGCTTCGTTATGACAAGATGACCAAAGCCAACATGTTGGTAGGCAGCAGTATTAAAGTGGGAAGGATGGACACAGACATGAGGACACAACACCAGGAAAGGGAATTCATGGAAGAAGATTGCTGGTTTTCTAGTCCCTCAATGTAGCTTGCTTTTGAGGAGCAGCGCACAGTGATGTCATGTATAATACATGTTGCTTTTAATCTGTGAAGCCTCATGCTGTGTTGAAAACCACATGGGAAGATGCTGTTCACTCAAGGGCCCCTGAACCAAAGCCTCTAAAATTATTTCTGCCCAAAGCACAGGTTAATATATGCACTGTAACCAATACAATCTGTCACTAATATCTGTACTTAATAACCAATTGTGTAAGCTTCCCTCAGCAGTCACAGTTCTTGTTTTTTTTATGTCTAGAGTCTACTGATCCTCTCTGTGGGACATTTAACTTACACAGCAGATACTCCTGCAAATACTGTAAAGCGAGAGCTTTCTCAAGTTAAACTAGCTGTTGTAAGGACTGGCAGCAGTGATATTGCAGCCAGTAAGACTCGTGTGGTGTTGTAATCACATTACTTACAGAGCTTCCGTGCTGGGTCTTGCAGTAGATATTGCCTGACATGCTCACGTCCAGTTCAGGTGTGCCTGTCCATACTGCACTGAGAGCAGTCTCCTCCACTTAGTCTACCTGAGGAACAGGAAAACTCATCTTCAGTGTCCAGCAACTGGCTTGTTTATGAGTTTGCATGTTCTTCTGAGTCCTGGTCATAGTTCTCAAGGGTAATGACCAACAACTAACTTTTTAGGACTATCGGAAACTCTACAGAGTTAGTAAAGCTCCTGAGGCCTGATACCTGAGCAGGAAAAAAAGACCCAAAAAACATTTACAACTTATCTAAAACTGAAAAATGATAAATGGACTATTTCTGTGGTAACAGATTAAAGCAAAGGAAGTCACACAGATCAGAAAGTCCCTGGACTACACCTAATACTCAGATAGGTCTCAGTGAGAGGAAGCAAAAGCTGCACAGAAAACCTGTCCACTTACTGTCCATGGCTTGAGAGATATAAATTAGGTCACAGAACTTCTCTTGCCCAGTTTCCAGATAATGAGACAGATAGATCTGTGTGCTGTTCAAGTCTTCACACTACTTTTATTTGATTAGGCTCTTCCCATTTTTTTCAGAAAATGACTCTTTAACCTTTCAGATAATTCTAACGCTTTTTTTTTTTGGGGGGGGGGAGGGGGAAGGGGGCAGGGATGGGAGGGAAATTCTGCCTTGAAATGCCAGGCTGCTAGTAGAATTTGATTGCAAACCTGAAATCTGCTTCTTCAGTTTAATCCAGTCAGATTGGGCTGGGTGGATGTACACTAGGTCAAGCTGTAGAAAGTCTTTATTCTTGCATAAGCTGAAAGTTGCAAAGCTCTTTACTGCTGTCATGGGCATACTCCTTGTGAAGAATTAAAGAGTATTTAATGAATATGCACTTTGACTGAAAAAAAAAAAAAAAGGACCTAAAATCAGAAGCATGATTGAACTGATTAAAAGAAGTGCTAAAGAAGCTCCATTCCTCTGACTTTTACCCATAACTAGCACAAATATAAACCAAACTCTGAGGTAACAGACATCTCCAAAACATTGTAAGGAGTGTCTTTAGCATAAGATTGGCTCTTCAGATTACTGCCTTCGCTCAGCCCCCCATCCTGTATTCAAGAGAGGATTTGGATACCTTATGAGAGTTAGATGCCTTGTGAGGTAAACAGATCTTGCTGCTGACAGCTGTTTTGTAAAGGTAAGTGCTGATGTGTCTCAGATATTTACAGTTTTTAAAAGTAAGTGCTTTATAAGATTTTTAATACTTAAGCTAAAGTATGTATGAAACAGTCCTGAAGGCAAGTGAATCCACTACAGCTTCCACCACTATCAGCAGCAATGAAAATATTTGACTGTAGTAAATTGTACGTTCCCCTAGAGTTGAAAAGACTTCTATGGTATTTATTTCATTTATTCTCATGTAGAAAGGAATGGGTAAAAGAGGTTGAAAAGTCAAATCAAAAATCAAAACTTTCCCTGACAACCACCAAACCAAGGTCCTGGAGAAACATACCGTTACATTTTCAACATGAAAAGTTAAAAGAATCGTATCAGTGTTACATTAAGAGTCCTGGTGGACCAAGGTAAACATCCCTATTTGGGAAATGAATCAGTACATTTTGTTGGTTTGGCTTTTTTTTTTGTTTGTTTTTGTTTGTTGTTGGGGGTTTTTTTGTGGTGTGGGTTTTTTTGGTTTTTTTTTTTTTTAATCTCTACTAGTTGACCTACTAGGAACAAAATTGCATATGTGCAAAGGTTTGCTCTTTTTCCTTCCTTTAAGATCTGAATAATGCCAATGACCAGGCATTACCTCAAACTGATCAGTTTACTGTGAGCAGAGATCTTCAGCGTCCTAGTTATCTTTCAAACTTAAGTTTAAAATAGATCACTTGAAAGAATTAAAAAAATACAAAAGGTTATAGCTGGTTGTGTCAAAACGTTTGAAGAGCAGCAAAACCAAAACAGGATTGCAACCACCTTCTCCTTGAATATAATGCTTTGAAATTATAGGAAACTATGTCCTTCACAAGCCACACACTTCAACATGAATGCACATGAGGAAGAGGAAGGCTCCTCTCCTAAGTGCCTATGGCATGAGAACTCTTTTGCAGATGAAAATCCAGTTCAGCAAAGCTTGTCAGCATGTGTGTAAGACTGCTTCATTTCAGCAAAGCATTTAAGAATGCATTTAAATTTAAACATGTACTTAGCTGAATCGGTTTGGTGAGTGGGGATTGATGGCTGAATTGAGGCATTAAACATTAGTGATGGAGCTGAGAACATGAAATCATATGTAAATTAGGATGTGTCATGTTGGGACTAGAATAAACTGATTCAAACATTGCACGATTAAGATCTCTTGAAAGATGTGAAGCCACAAGAAATTCTTAAAACCTGGTGACTTGAGAAGGGGCATAATCACTGACAATCATTCAGTCCTCACCTCACCTCATCTCATCTCATCTCAAATCACTTGGTTTTAGTGTTTGGTGGGGAGACTGGGTGGAAATCTCTTCCACTTAGTAACTGAAACACTTCAATCTCTGTTGGTACAACATCAGTTCTAGATGTTGCCCAGGACAGTGTCATCTATTGATCGCCTTTTAACCAGGATGAAGAATTAATTCTTTGACTTCTTTTGGTCCAGCCACAAGTGGTAGCAGGGTCTATCTGAGCAGCTCTGTCCCTCTTGTCTGGAGAGACTCTGGTGTGAACATTTCCCATGGAGCCCTGCTCGTCACCCTTTGTGCTCCTGTACAGGCAGTGCCTCTAGGAGGGTGACCATGGAGCTGAGGACTGTGGTTTTCAGTGTGAAACTGTGCTGATGACGCCTGCTCTTTATATTTCCCCCCGTCTTTAGACCCGCTCAGGGCAGCCAAACAGTTTAGACAGTGACTCATGAAGATGGAGATATGGATAAAAGCCTATCTGTCCAGAAGAGGCTGAGGTAATGCTTGAAGAAGAAAGCAACTGCTTCATTTCTGCTTGGCAGAAGATGCTGTGTTTGCTCCTCCAAGTATAAGTAGTAGTATATTATGCTTCCCAGATACATGCTTTTTGTGGGTTTGTTTTGTTTTGTACATTTTGGATGCATACTTTCTGTTAACTTTCTGTTTAATGGGACAATCTATTATTAACAGCTGTGCTATAAACTCTGAAATAGTGATGCTTGTTTTACATGTTACAGTAATTTGAACAAAACCAAAATATTATTTTTTTCTGTACAATAAAAGCAGTGGTGCATCATACAGAGAAGCTGCACCTATCTCAGAGGCTAGTGGGTCAGACAGCAGCTCTAACATTAGCTCCTGTGTGTGATTTGCAGAGCACATGCAGATGCCCCTGGACTGTATTTGTGCATCAGGAATGCTTACACAGTGGATCAGTTAGTTTTGAAGGAAGGAAAAGCACTAACGGCAGCTTTGAAATACACTCAAGGTAAAGTCCAGCTACAAAACTTTTGAAAAGAGAGAAAACATCTCCCTCCTCCACCAGCATAAATACAAACTTTACTGTGAAAAGAGATGCTTGCTTAGTGGGGCTTTTTTTCTCTTAAATAGGTACATTAACCATAATTTCCTTGAAAGGATTTGTTGAAAGATTCAGCATAAATTTGACATAATTAAATGATGATGCAGTTAACACTAATCTCCTCTGAAAGTGACTTTTATTGTAACAAATAGAAATCCTGTCTCTATAGTTCTTTGAAGGGAAAGCGTGTGTTACATGAGTGATGTAGTTTTATTTATGTAGTTTTACTTTTTTTTTTTTATTTCCAACCTTTTGATTATCTTAGACCAAAGTGGCACGTGAAAGAAATGTTTTCTGCAATAGTGTCAGGGGTGAGATGATTAAAACTGTATACAGTCCTGTATTCCTATTATTCTTTTAAAAATCTTGTTTTATCCTTCAGTCTAGAAAATGTAGCAGGAGACGGAATGATTTATGCCTTGCTTATAGTTACATAACTGATATTCTCATATAATATTTTATCTCAGATTATGAGTAAATTCAAGAGAGAGAGAAAACACCCTAACAGACTTAATAAGCCTTACCATATAATCATGTTGTAGGAACAATGAAACTTGAAGCACCGGAACCCATCGGAGTTGTTCAGATCCACCAGGATCCTGCTTTGAGCAGGGAGATGAACTAGACAACCTCCAGACATTCCTGATAACCCAATTTCTTCCATGATTGCTGCATGCTCTCCTTCTTAATTGCATCTGAAGCATTTGTGACTTGTCTATGTTTGGCTTTTGTTCAAATAAGTAGAACACTCATTTATGTTGCTAACAGTAGCATTGCCCTAGCTACAGCAGTGTAAAGATATAGCCAAGACAAAATTTATAAAAAGAAACATTATCTTTCTCTTGGACCAGTTGATGCAGCTAGACTACATATAGATACCGTGGGCCCACACAGATTGTGTTGGATCTGAAGCTAACAGCAAACATGCACCTGATAGAGGATGGGGACGATTGCTCTGGTAGAATGAAAGTGTATTTCTTTTTCCCAGTTTAGCAAGTTAGAATAGACTGGTATGGTTTATGATGATGAGATGTCTGCTATATCAACTGACACTCCCTGTTTCCCTTGGAATAAGTTACAAAATCAACCTCTGTGAAACTCTGAATACAAAATTCCCCTTTGAGGCGTTTGAGTGTTTATACTCTGACCCCATAGCTTTGCACTGACATGAAGGAGCTCTGGGGTGGTTGGAATATGAGTTTCTGGACTGATCAACATCCTTGATTTATGGTCCTGATTTGTGATCCTAATTTTGAACTACACTCCATCGTTTCTAACACTTACAAATACATTCCTTGCTGCTAAGTGCTCCTCAGATGGCTTACAGAAATATTTCCACCATTGCATACGTCTTATTTTCACTCTGTGCTATTTGTAAAACGGGACTGGCCCTCTGGTTGGTACTGTTGGGAGTTTTGCATGAGCAAGGACTAGAGCTGAGTGAATACATACCCTAAATATTTATTTGCATTCAAAAGAGAGCTTATATTTAACTCTGGCTGTAATCCTTTCATATTTATTTTCTATGAATATGTGATCATGTGAGCTTTACTAGCATAATACTTGTCTGAGAATTTCTATGTGATTTGCTCATGGGAAGCAAACATTTAATTCAAATGTTGGGTCAGCAAAAGGCAGCTCAGAATTTTCTGTTGACTTTGGTTATTAAAATTAAATGTTACGATCCTTGTGGATTAAAGAAAGCAAAATTATGCAATGTTACAGTCAGTGGCACAATAAACATTCACACTGTACTTGTTAATTTAAAAAACTGTATCAGTATAGGTGAAAAGATGTATGGGGCATAAATTAACTTTACTTGATTTATTGCAGAAGATACATTCCCAGTTGAAAATTTCAATCTGGATTACAAAATTCAGAAATGCGATGATCTGCAGACCTACAATTATTCACTGAAGTATTCCATTAACCATTTTATAAAAGCACATTTTAAATATGATCTGCATATCTCCAAGTGATTCAAGGTAAAATTTGCCAAAGAAAATCCTCTAGTAAGAGCAGCACACGTGAGTTAGAGACACAGGATGTGGTTGCTTGGTTACTAATCAGGAGTCCACCTGGAGAGCACTGCACTTCAGAGTGTGGAGATAGGTTTTGCCCTTTGTTTTTGACTGGCATTACTGCTGATTGTTAACATCCAAAATGTGAAACCAGGAAACTTTATTGAACAGTGACTCCACTCTGGCAACCTCACTGCGACTGCAGCCGGTGGCAGTGTGACCATCCTTCCGTCAGGGAAGATAGAACCATGGGAAAAATTATAGACAAAATTTCATTTTAAGAGGCATTTTAGAGAATGTACCTTGGATATTTTTCTCTCAAATGCCATCCTATTGCACTCAGATGGACAAATCACATAGTTTTATTATCTCTTTTAGTATTTTCAATATATTCTTGGATTGTTTTTAATAATAGTAGGGTTCGTAAAACCCTAAAAAATCATTAACTGATAGTAATTAAAATTATTTTTCCCTTGAATCTCATTCTTGACAGAAACAATATTTAACAAGATTCTGTGAAGTTTCTGCAATTTGCCAAAATTTGTTTTTTTAAAGAAAATATACTTTCTACTGCTGCTTTTGAGTTCAAACAGGCTTAGCATCTTCCAGAAGATCTGAAAATGGAAAGCTGTCATCTTAATAAAAT